AGTGGGGCCAGACTGGCCTCGACTACATCAACAAGATACGTTGCGAAGATGGCTATCATGTGCAACTCGGGGCGGGGGCCCACCTGCGAGGGCCCATGCTGCACTCGCCCATCAAGAAGTTTGGCAGGGCCCACTGAGAAGTCGAGGCCAGGCCCGCCAACGAGACGCAAGTGCAAGGGCAGCTCGGCCGCGGCGGCGCTCGGGTAGCAGTGGGTGATCACCTGAGTTCCAGGGCCATCGAGCTGAGGCGAGCTGAATGGCAGCCAGCCTCGGGCCAAGGCATGTGGGCCGCTCGTGGGGTGCGCCTTCACGGCCACGCGCTCCTCTTCCTCTCCGCCCATTTCGATTTCGGGGAGGGCCCCATCGGGGGATGACATGCAGATGTTAGAGGAGATGGCCAGCAATATCCAGGCCGCGGGGGTTCCCTTCACCTTCTTAGCTGACTGGAACATGGGGGTACTGGCAAACAACGAGCTGGAGGGTGTGCTACGGTAGTGACGCGGCTCGGCCCTGGCAAGAGAGGCGACCCTTTGTTTTTTTGCCCGCCACGACATGGTCAAGGCTTGGCCGCGCGTCCCCCCCGCCCCCACGCGCGAAAAGGTCGCCTTCCACGCCGCCTGGACCAACTGCGCCGAGGCGACGAAGGCTGCCGCGCGCCCGTGGGGCAAAGTCAGAGGCCCCATAGCTGCGCTATTTACCGCGCTTATCCAGAGCGGATGGGGCCCCATGCTCCCCTGGCAGTAGAAGGGCCCCCGCGGAGATACCTACTACTTGGTCCCCGACGAGGCCCCGCCAGGAAGAGCACGCTTCTACTTGGAGGCGGTCTCGGGCTCCAATCCAGGATGGCAACAGTGCGTCTTCGATGAAACTGAGGGCACATCCGAGCAGAAGGTCTGGAGGGACTTTGCAGCCACACATTTCTGTGGCAGAGGCCTCGAGCACGGTGCCGACCTTGCCGCGCTCCCAAGGCTCATCCGTGGCCGTCGGCGTGCGCAGCGCCATGGACATGCAGCGCTGCTCGATCGCCTGGCTACAGGGGCCCTGTGGCCAGGAGATCGGCGCTTCCCCGACGAGCCCGGTCGACAAAAATGCCCTCGGTGCACAGCTGCGCGCCTCCACCCCCTGCCTGCCGACGACATTCTACATCAACAGTGGGAGTGCCCACGTCTTAGCGCAACAGAGCGCGCAGCCTTTGACCTCCTCCCGCAGGTGGAAGGCGAACGTGAAGAGTAGGCTTGTTTTTGGCATCGTAGGATCGTCCCGATTCTCTGGATTTACCCCCACATTGACAAGCTCCCAGAGTAGAGGTTTGAGTGTTCTGCAGGTGTTGTTCAGGACCAGCGTCTACAGCTCCCCCCATATGCCCTTGCAGGTGCTGATGGAAGCGGAGGCGACCACGCTAGTGGCCCGAGGCTCCGTAAATGTGGCTGGGGTTTTGCTATTTGGTCCCAGGATGCCATCCTTGGGGAAGCCTGGGGCCCTCTTCTCGGACGGCGCCAGACGGTGCCCCTGGCGGAGCTGGAAGGCCTCACCCAAGCCCTCAAACACACCGAAGGGCCAGCCACCTTTGTTGTAGACTGCGCCTACGTTTTGAAAGAAATCCTTGCAGGCCCAGGCCAGGTCCCGCCCTTGCACGCTGCAGCATGGGCCCGTTTTTGGCAAGAATTTAACGCCAGGCCAGGAGAAGCGCAGCTTCTTAATATTAAGAGCCACCTCGCAGAGGCTGACATAGGCCGACTAGTCTCTGAGGGTGGTTTCCGTTGTACTGAGGTTGCTGACGAGGCGGCTAAGAGAGGGGCTGCCCTCGCCCAGCTGCCTCCTGAGTCCATTGCCGAGGTTGCCCGAATCGATTCCCTGGCCAAGAAGGTGTTGGAACACTTGCTCGAGGTAGGTGTGACGGAGGTCCTAGCCAGGCAGGCTGACGCCAGAGCCCTAGGAGCCCCGACCCCAGCCGATTTCGATGCCGCCCGCAGAGAGCGGCGTGGTGGCCGAATCGCTGCACGACTGGACACCCGCCAAGCTACCGCCCACCAAGTGGTTCCACGGCGAGGCTCCTCTTTTTGTTCTGTATGCCTGACGGCACCTACCCGCCAGCTGCCCACCAACGAGTGGCTGGCGGCCCCGTGTAGAGGCCTTCACCATCATATCCACAGTTCCCACAAGATTCGGTGCATGCGCGAACTGTGGTGGTGCGAAGTGTGTGGTGGTTCGGGGCGCACTCGCTTCAGTAGCTTGGGGAAGGAATGCCAGCGCCCAACAGCTGCTGGCAAGAAAACGCTGGACAGGCTTGCCAGAAGACTTCTCCCGCCCAGTCGGGATGCCTTGCCAGGCGAGTCAGGGCCAAGTCCAGGGTAAGCCATCCAGCCTCACTTTTCCAGGGCCCTGGCATCTGAACCAGACTCAGGCCCTCGTGGAGTCGTTCCAGGGGGGGGGGAGGAGGAGGAGGAGGAGGAGGAGGAGGAGGAGGAGGAGGAGGAGGAGGAGGAGGAGGAGGAGGATGAGGAGGAGGAGGAGGAGGAGGAGGAGGAGGAGGCGGAGGAGGAGGAGGAGGAGGAGGCGGAGGAGGAGGAAGAGGAGGAGGTGGAGGGGGAGAAGGAGGAGGGGGAAGAGGAGGAGGAGGAGGAGGAGGAGGAGGAGGAGGAGGAGAAATGGGGGGGAGGAGGGGGAGGAGGAGGAGCAGGGTGAGGAGGAGGAGGAGGAGGAGGAGGAGGAGGAGGGCGAGGAGGGGGAGGATTCAGCTACGAGGATTCTGCTATCCTGATCAGCCGAACAATTAGCACGAGTGTAGGGCTGACGACAAGACGCGGCTGAGAACTCAACCGCCGCGTGTCGCCCCCCCGCGGCGGCGGCGTTGGCGCCCGCGTTCCGACGCGGTGCAGTGGCCGCCGCCGCAAGGGCCACCGGCTCCCGCCCCTGAGCCAGGCGGCGTGCGGAGGACTTGGCCTGGGGGCCCCGAGCTGGAGGGGAACCCAACAAGGGGGGAGACCAGGTCGCCAACCCTCGATCGCCCCTCCTGGGGGGGACACGCCCCAAAGCCCAAAATGGAGCCCCACCTCCGCCTGTCGTTGGGTCGGTCGCCCGCCAGTTCTCGGGTTGGTCGCCCAGGATCTTCGAGGAGGTGGAGGAGAAGTACCAGTGTAAACCCAAGAGTCATCAACGATGTTGGAATGCACCCTCCCTCCGAGCTCCCTTTTCGCTGGCCCCTATAACGCTTCATTTCCACTGAAGAAACTGCCTCGTTGGGACACAACCGTTTGAATACCAGGAAGCATGCCAAAACATTGTTCTCGGGGTTCCAACGCGACGGGTCAACCTGACACTTGCGTCTTGACGATCCTGAATCGCCCCAGAGAGCCATTCCTTTGTCTTTCAACACCGCGAATCAACGTAACCGTTGCGCCCTCATAGTCCTGAATCCTTCCTAAACGCCATTTCTGGTACGTTGCTCATGGGAATCCGTGATTCTCTGTCAGATCGTTCAAAAAATGTGCGCGGCGCTAAGGCGAGAGCCACATTTGGAAAACCGCCCGTCCTCAATCCATGACCCCCTTGCACATGTTTAAAACGAATGTGCGCCGCGGCGCTAAAGCGAGAACCACCTTTTGAAAACTATCCGCCCTCCATCCGTGACATTCTTGCATGTAAGAAGAAAACGAATGTGCGCCGCGCTAAAGCGAAAGCCACATTTTGAAAACGACCCGCCCTCCATCTGTGAACCTGTGGACATGTATCAAGCTTCAGTGTCATAAACGGTGAAGAAGTCTTAGGCGAAACGCCCGGCCCGCCCTAAAAGCTGGCCTCGGGGTGCAACAGGGGAAGTTTTTTACAAGGAAAAGGAGTGGAGGAGGAGGAGGAGGAGGAGGAGGAGGAGGAGGAGGAGGAGCAGGAGGAGGAGGAGGAGGAGGAGGAGGAGGAGGAGGAGGAGGGGGGGGGAAGGAGGAGGAGGAGGGAGAGGGGGAAGGGGGGGGAGGAGGGAGGAGGATGAGGAGGATGAGGAGGAGGGGGAGGGGAGGGGAGGAGGAGGGGAGGGGAGAAGGATGAGGAGGAGGGGGAGGGGGAGGGGAGGAGGGGGGAGGGGCAGGAGGAGGGGGAGGGGCAGGAGGAGGGGGAGGGACAGGAGGAGGACGGGGAGGTGGCTAGCCCCGCCCGAGAGACGCGCCCCTGCCCACGGCCTCGCGGCCCGCTCGGCCTCCGCTGGGCGGCCTCCGCGTGGGCGGCCCGCCTCAGGGGCCCCCGCGCGGAGCGCGTCCGCGGGAGCCGCGCGCCCGTGGGAGGCGCACCTCGGCGTCCAGACTGACTACCTACCAGACCACCACAACCCAACCCGAAGACCCGAATTTCCGTTTGGGGGGGGGTAAGGGTTCCACGTGTGTTTTTTCGATGTTTCCCGCCCCCCCCAACTGGAAATCGAGGGTAAATCTGAGCCTTCGGGTTGGGTTGTGGTGGTTTGGTGGGTGGTGACAGACCGCGAGGGCACGGGCATGGTCCCAGACGTGATCGCGTCGTGCAAAAATCAGGGCGGGAGATTTTGGGCCCCTTTTCGGCCTCGGGGGGCCCTCGCCGGGCCCCGGGACCGTCAGAGAACGACCCAGGATGCAAAGCCGGTCCCAGGGAGGTCGGGACTTCGCACTGAAGAATTCAGGACGTCGCACGTCTGAGGTCAAATCTGCGGGCGGCGCGCAGAAACAACCCCCCCAGGTAGTCCCGGCTGGCCCCAACGGGCCCCCGGAGCAGTCCCGGGCGGCCGCAGCAGGCCCTCAGAGTGGTCCTGGGCGGCCTGAACGCCCCAACCCTGGGGTGCTCTCCGCGCCCCAGGGTTGGGGTGCTGAGACCGTCCTGGGCTACTCGGGGGGCCTGCTGATGGGGCCGTTCCGAAGAGGAGGAGGAGGAGGAGGAGGAGGAGGAGGAGGAGGAGGAGGAGGAGGAGGAGGAGGAGGAGGAGGAGCGCAGCCCGAAACCCTACCACCGCGGGCGAGGGCGCGTTCGTCGCTCGCGGGGACCACCATCTCGCGCCGCACCTCCGCGAGGTCCGGGAAGTGCTGCTCGAAGATCTGCATCGCCGCGGTGCTCTCGGTGCCCTCGGGCGCCTGCGGGGGACGCCCGCTGCGCCCACGCATGGGGCGCCCTTGGCTCTCTCCCTCTCGTGGCCGTCGCTCCCCCTCGTGCGCAGAAGGAGTCTATCCGCTACCGTGCCCCCCCCTGGTACCCCGTTGCCAGGTGCAGTGGAAGCCAGTCCACAAGAAACCTTTCACAGGAAAACCAACACTGGGACCCCAGGGCGTCCATGGATTTTTGGTGTGGGAACGTCGCGCTCTCCATCGCAGAACCAGCGAAACCCAAGACACCCAGGGCACTCTGGAGGCAAGCAGAATGCTTCTTGGCATGCGTCTCTACTGTAGGACGCCACGGGCGGTCAGGTGATCTTGGCTGCCGCCAATCATCTTAGGAACCTCGTTCCCCTCCAAATCGCGCTTCTCATTAGGGATATGGGGTTCTCGTTATGCATATGTAACTGTTGCATCTGCATAACCAAGCCGCCCAAATATATTATCCCTAATGCGAAGACGGGGGCCTCAGTGAGGCCACGTTTTCAATGCGTTATTAAGGTTAGGGTTTTCTCTTCGATGATCAGGAACTTTCACTCCCCCTCTAAAGCACGCTTCTTTGGACATCGTTTTTTTTTTTTTTTTTTTTTTGTTTTTTTTTTTTTGTTTGTTTTTTTTGTTTTGTTTTTTGTATTATTATCAATACTGTTCGCGAGAACGCTGGGACAGGCCCCGCCCCGCCCCCCCCCGCTCCCGTGAGGGGCAACGATAGGGGGGATAGGGATAGGGGGGCAAACATCGACCTGGAATCGGCGATGCATCGCCGATAGATCGGCAATCTGCCCCCCGATAGCGAATCCGAACCCTCCTGGGCGGGCTGGCTGGGGCTATCAAGCCCGTGTCGACGATCAATGGGCACTTTGGGGGTCGCTGCATCCCCCCTATGCCTATCCCCCCTATCGTTGCCCCTGATCCCCCCTGGTCATGTCACGACCCGCGCTGGCGCCGTCTGGGAATCAACCACTCTCAGATACTCCCGGGCGGCGCGGGCGCGAATCGTGACGCGACCGGCCCCCTCCCCCCCCTCCCCCGCCCGCCCACGCCCGTACAGTCGAGGCGTGGACCTAAGGAACCCTACATAAGGAGCGAGGCCTCTTTTGCTCCACGAGTTAAACTTCGCCTTCCCATCGAAAACTTAAGGAACACCTTAGGCAAGGTGTGGCACAATTAAGGAGCACCGAGCCCCTCCCCAACGCAAAGGCTTCCTTCTTCAGCGCCCCGACTGTACTAGCCATCGGATACATACACGGTCCCTTGCATGTGCCCGACCACTACGGACCCGAGCAATACGATGTTGTCGAACACAACGGGCTCTATCACTACGACGCCGGTCGCCGTGTGATTGCCTTTCCTAGGGGAACGGATTTTTCTCCCGCGCCAGAGAACCCAAACTCCATGAATCACCACGCGAGCGAGCAATCTAATGACCTCCGATGGCACCGGTGACCCTTCGTCACGGGGGACAAATGGCTAGAGAGTTGAACTCGTGGACGCCAGCATCCACGCAGGCTGCACATTCGGTAATGGCAGAAACATATAAAAGCTCGGAGGTCCGCGCGGATTTCTCGTATCCCCGGGGAGCGCGCCATAGGGGCGGCCTCGCAGGCGCCGCCCCTGGCGCGCCCCAGCGCCGCTCCGAGAAGCCCGCGCGAACCTCTGAGCTTTTTACGTTCACCTCACTGCTCGTCCCCTCTGCGGTGGGGGCACTGGACAAGGAACCCCTCGACAAGGAATCCGGTGCCTGGAAGACCCCGTGGAGCGCCACTCCTGGCTTGGCCATGGACACCACCACCGCCTTCTCCTCCGAGAAGGGACCCTCCAGGATCTGCCCCTCCTGGGCGCAGTCCTCAACCATTCGACAGGCGTTAGGTGCCTGTCCTCAGCCCTTGCCCCACCGTGCTCCCGTCCCCGCCTCCCCCCCCCGCGGCCGCTCTCGCCCGCCCTGCCCTCCTCCCTCGCCGCCACCTCGCTGGCGCTCTCCGCTCCCTGGGCGTGCGGACCGCCTCTCGGCCGCGCCGCGGGGTAGAGGCGTCGCCCCCGCACCTCACGCAGGTCGGGCGTTGGCAGAAATGGGTTTAGTGGGACCTGGTTTAATGATGTGTACTGGGGGACGCCCTCCGGCCCCATTCCACGAACCGGAACTGCCGGCACCCGAGAAGACACCAGCTGCGGCACACCTGCTTTAGTGATTCTGGCCGATTTAGGGGCTCCAAGGCCCTACCACTGACCTGGTCCCCTTACCTGGGGTCCTGGCTATACCCGAGCAGGGTACGCCTGCGTTGAGGTCGGGCATGTCCTCCCACAGGCGGATCTTGGAAGAAAAGCTAGAGACAGTCAGAACAATACTCAAACACAGCCATGGACAGTCCACGAATCGTCCCCAGACTATTTCTTCTATGCTGTTTCTGCAAATTCCTCCTGTAGAGGGACACGCCCGACTGGAGCCTACGTTCGGCTAGACGCAAGAGCGACCCTGGGTTAAGAGTGACCTTTCGTGCGCGTCTTGCGTGGGGCTCGAGGGGGCCGAACCCTGGCGCGCAGGCCGCTGCTGTCGCACCGCGCCCCGCGATAAGGGGGGGGGCCCCGAGGAGCCCGCACCACAGGCCACTCCGGCGAAGGGCCCCTCTGGCGCGCAGTCGGTGCGCATGCACGCCCAGGCCTGGCTGGGGCCAGGCCTGGGCCCCGGGACGCGGTGGTGGAGCCCGGGTGCCCTCTTCGCGCGCGTCGGCCGCTCCCCGCCCGCCCCCTGCCCCGCGCGGCAAGGCAGAGAGGAGCGATGTGGCGTTGGGGGGCGACGGGAGGGAGGCACGCCGGCGCTGGGACGAAGGTCCTCCTCCTGCTCTTTTCTCCCCCCTCCTGCTCCTCCTCCTCCTCCTCCTCCTCCTCCTCCTCCCCCTCCTCCTCCTCCTCCTCCTCCTCCTCCTCGTCGTCCTCCTCCTCCTCCTCCTCCCCCCTCCACCACCTCGTCAGGATCCGCTTAGTACAGGACATGGCCAACCGGGACAACGCTGGAACCTCCATCCGGAAAGGACGAGGACAGGATGACGTTCCGGCCCCCGCTGCGATCTTCTTGGGTGTGCGGACGTCCTGGCTTGCCAACGTCCCCCTTTATGGGGCCACGTTCCTCCGCCCGCTCTGGAGGAAGATAGGATGCGGGCAACGTCTTTATCCACATCCAGTGCGTCTTGGAGTTTCGGACACTCTTCCCAAGAAACATGAGGCGCACTGGATATGGATTATAATCTGCCTCCAAAAGGATCAATTTCTATCCATGTCCATTGCGCCTCGGCCTTGCGGCGCCCCTTCCAAGAAAATACAAGACGCACTGGACATGGATATAAATATTGCCCGCGTAGGAAGTGGTGCGTCTGGCGGGGGTCCAAATCCCACCGCCTTCTTGGTCATCGGCTGCGCGTTCAGGAGCAGCAGGTAAGCGCACGGCGCGAGGGCCACGGTGAGCGCCGGCCACCCGAGCAAGAACACCCACCTGTGGAACGAGGGGCACGCGGTTTTTACAGCCGCAACGTGCCAGGAGGCAATTCACGAATGACAGCCGTAGCTGCCCCGATACGCAACACGCAACACGTATCGTATAGATACGGAGCTCAACACGTAGGCTGAAAACGTGGGTCCGACGCGATACATTCGCCAAAACGTGGTCCAATACGTGGAGCCGACACGCAACGTATTGACACGTACGTCTTGAACACGGGACGTGTTGCGTTTCAAAACGAGCGTATCGAGGCAACTAAGATAACGGCAGTTTATATCAAAATCATCAGATAACCCTGCAGTCGCGGATAAGAGTGGGGCGGCGGGGGGCGTCGACAGTTGGCGAGGCTCGAAAGCAGCGGGTCGCGGGGAGGTCGCGGGGCGGGGCCGGCAACCAAGAGAGTCCACACCGCGGAACCCCACTCTAAACCACGCGCCTAGGGAATGTAAGAGCGCTCGGCCTCCTCACTCTGTTTCTTCAAGTCAAGTGAGCAAGGCTTTCTGGTTTGCCACAAGGCCGCAACTTTCTGGGCGTGGTATTAGAAGCAGAGTCCAACAGCGGACAGCTGCAGGGGGATGCAGGTCGCTTTCTGGCCACCATCGTTCGGTTTGCGGAGGGGGTGTGCATAAACACATGCCTGCACGAAACACCGGTTGCAGGGATGGTGCCCCCCTTTTGCGTGCCGCCTGAATGGTTGGGGGAGGAGGGAAGAGCGGGAAGGGGCGGGGGAAGGGGAGGGAGGAGGACGAAGATGAGGATGAGGAGGAAAAAGAGGCGAAAAGGGATTTGGTAATCGATTCTTGACTCCAGGTCTTGGCGCACCCCCTGCAGGCAACCTCGAAGCGCGAACAACTATGCGCAAAGGATTCTGGTGTCGACGTCAGAACGGACTCACCGCAAGCGCCATGTACTCCTGCCTTCCACCTGGGTCATCACGCATCTCCGCTGGCTCAGCTGAGATCTGGAAAAGCTCAAGCTCGTTCCAAGAAGCACCACCCACTCGTGCTTGATTCGTCCCTTGCCTGCGGCAGGTACCATGGGACTCAACAACACCTGCGTATTGCCTTGTGGGTACTGCCCTCTGACGCATCGGACTCAACTCCGCCTGGCCTGCCTTGTCGCGAATCCGTAGCAAAAGGGCGCTCCTCGGCACCCTCGGTATCCCTTTTGGCGAAGAACTCCTCACCAAGATATACGCCCTCACGCCACACTCGATCTTAGAGGCTGATGTCGACATGGATACGCCAAGCGCAGAGAACGAATGCAACAACGCACCGAAGGTTGCAGAAACACATAGAATCGAATACGTCGGCCAAAAACCAACTTGCCCGCGCGCGCTCAAGTACATAGCTTTGCTTGTTTGGTGCCGGGTGAATTTGATTCGGTGACGTCGGCCGAATGGAGCAGCCTTGCGGAAACCACTTGCCGCCTGTGTGGTAACGTCTGAGGCGCCACGGACGCCGCAAGGCACACAGGGCGGCCGTGATCGGACATTTGCCAGTCGGACTCAGCATCGTAACGACAATAGCGATCTCATTCTTGCGTTCGACAAAGCTACTCGCCTGAAAGACTCGTGTGCAGCCCGGCTGCTTGGCAAGAAAATGCCCTAGCTTGCAGCCGCCAGGGAAGAAACGCCTCACACCATTCACTGAACCAACGGCCGCACCGTCGAGATGCACACGGCTGATTGAACGCTGGAGCTCGCGCCCTCTCGCCACCGCACCCTCCCTCCCAGCACCACCTCACACGGGGCTCGAGCATTCCATGTTCTATGCGTATCCGAGTGGACACACGATGGGGACGATGCGAAGGGGGGGGCAGGGGGAGAGATGGCAGGCGCGAGGAGTGGGGAGACAGAGCCAATACCGCATGAGAACATCGGGTTGAATTATAACGCGCGTCGGATGGGGCAACTTTTCATTGCCCGCACGGCACCGACATCGGATCGAACCGGTCGCCCTAATATGAACAGCGAGACCATGCGACGTTCAGGCCGCATCGGACCCTCGGAATCGAATCCGATCGAGCCGGCCGGAATGGATCTCGCATCATGTTGATCGAGTCGATGCGGACCCTGGGAGGTGCTGGAATTCGGGGCCCAGACCAACGACGCCCGGCTTTTTCAACACTCGGGAGCGGCCAAGAGGGGGTGTCCAAGAGGGGGGGGGTGCAAATCATGACCGGTGGCATGTGCGCGGCCCAGCGGGGGGGCCAGGGACGCAATGAAATAAGAAGAGGCGCCAGAAGATCTGGGGAGATATCATGGCCCCCGCCATGATATCCACCCCCCCCTAGTCATCACCCCCTCTTTTCCGTCCCCGAAACACACATTGACTCTTGAATTCGATCGAGGCGGCCGGAATCGACCTCGAAGCAAATCGATCAGATCGAGCTGGATGCTGAGAGGTGTTGGAATGGGGAACCCAGGTCTTCAACGCGCTATCTTCTTGCCATCGCTCGAACGTCCACTCCCCGTGCACTTCTCGGCTCCGCGCGTGCCTTCCAGATGCTCCGGGAGGTCCCTCGAGGGTCCCCGCCGAGAAAGAAGGCACACGCCCGAGCGATCCCAGGACCAAAGACGCTCCGTGTTTTGTGGTCCGAACGAGCGGGCCCCTGGAGCTGTGGAGCCGCGCCGCGGGCCGTCTCCCGCGGGCCCCGGGGATGCAAGCCGCGAGCCCCCGGAGGCCCGGAGGCTCGGGAAGACGGGCCGCCCCGATCTTCTTGCAGGGGGCCGGAGGTCTGGGACGAAGACGACCGCGACAACGACAACGACTTCAATGAAGACGAGGCCGACGACCACCGCAACGTGGACGACCGCGACCACGACGACCACGACCACGACCACGACGACGACGACGACGACGACGACCACGACGACCCCGACGACCCCAACCACGACGACGACGACGACGACGACGACGACGACGACGACGACGACGACGACGACGACGACGACGACGACCGCGACGACGACGACCACAACGACGACGACCATGACGAAGGTTCGTCCCCGCGCCTGAGCTTGTAAATCGCCCGCGCGACGCACGGCGCCTGCGCGGCAGAGTCGACCCGATCCCCCCTCCCCTGGCAGGCTCGGGTCGGGCGAAAGGGGGGGATAGCAAAGGGGGGGTTTGAGAATCAGCTCACGCAGCTGATTTTCCCGGCGCCTCCCAGCGCCCGAGGCGGCTATGTATCGAGGAATGGGCCCGTCGGTGAGGCCGAAACCAGCTGCATGCAGCAAATTTCGTAACCCCCCCTTTCCCAATCCCCCCCCTTTCGTCCGGCCCGGCAGGCCCGACCGCCGCGGCCAGAAAGTCGGGGGCGCCGAAGGGGAGACAGGAGACAGGAGCGCGCCGAGTCCGCCGGACGGCCAGCGGGCCCCCTAGGAGCAGCGCGGGTGGGCCAGAGCCCGGATCTTGCATCTGGTGGAGGAAGGCGTCTTCCCAGCTGACCCAGAATTTCTGGTCGCAAGCATCGTATAACCCCTGGTAATTTGTATACGCTCCCAGCGGTAATCTAACCCCCCCATTGTAATTTGTAAAGTCTGTTTGGTGATACTCCCAGCGGTAATTCGTATGAGCTGTAATAGGGGGGGCCAGCAAAGAGAGGCGCTGTAGCTCGCCAGGGCCCGAGGCACGCGCGCGGACCGAGGGGGGGGGCCGGGGGGCGCGCACGGAGAGAGGACCATCGGGCCATGACATCAGGACGCCGTCGTGGCCTTGGCCGTGCTCCTTATCCCCCAAGTTGGCGCCCCTCGCTTCGCCGCCTCCGAGACACACACACACACACACACCTGTATGCATGTATGTATGCATGCATGCAGGCAGATCGGCAGGTCGGCAGGTAGGCGTGTGTGTGTATATGCATGTCCATGAGTGTATGTGTGTAGAAATAGATGTATGTATGTGTATATATATATATGTATATATATATATTTTAACAAACCCATATGTGTATAGTCACGTCTATGTGTGTACGTGTGTAGAAATAGATGTACATATATATGTATATGTTAACAAACCCATGTGTATATATACGAATGCATACATGCATACTGGAACCACTCGCACGCTTCGCGCGCGCACTTGGGTTCTAGCAGCCCCCCGCCCTCGACAAGGATGCAGCTGCACGTGCGTCCCCTGCGGCTTTCCCCCCGCCCTTCGGAGCCTCTGGGGGGCCTGCTGAGGGGTCTCCTGGGCCCGATTGGGGGGCCTCTTGGGGCGTGTCTTGGAGCTCCTGACGCTCTGTGGGGCGGGCAGTTTGATGTTTCGATGTCCGTCTCCCCGACGGGGTCCCTCTTGGGACGTTCTCGGGGCCCTCTTTGGCCATCCTTAAGAGGCCCGAGCTCTCCCTGGCGCCTTCTTGGGGCCTCTGAGGCCGTTTTGGGGCAAACGTTGGGGCATCCGGGCATGTTGTGGAACGTCGGGGAGAGCTTCTAGAACCACAGGCGCGCTTCGCGCGCTTTGGCTCTAGCAAGCACCCGCCCTTGAAAAGTTCATAGCTGAATGAATATACGTACATACCCAAACATGAAAGCCATGAGTTGAAGAAATCGCACAATGGCGACAGAGCATTACCGTCAGAAGTATGCCAAAACATCTTCAACGCGACGCAATGCAAACCGTGCAAAGCCAGGACATGAACTGGATGCTTTACAATGCCAATGACAATTAGGACAGCCTATCATGCCAAGCGGATGTCGCGACAACTCTTCGTAACGTAACAATGCAAATCCAGACAACGCAAAGTAGTGTAAAGGAACAAGTTGCCCAGCATCGCTAAGCAACACATTTACATTGCAATGCGATGCAATGCCTCGAGCGAGAACCTCGTTAGAGGCCTTCTAGATGGGGTCGGATTAGATGGGGTCGGAGGATCGTTCCGCATCGCCGATACATCGGCGATGCATCGGCGATGCATCGGCGATGCACCAGCGATGCACCGGCGACGTCGGCGATGCATCGGCGACGTCGACGTGAAGCAAATCGGGCTGCACATCGAGCCGCATCGGCGATGCATCAGCGAAGCGGCGCGGTCCTCCGACCCCATCTACTCCGACCCCATCTAAGAGGCCTAGACCCTTTCATTTGGAGGTGACCAGCCTCAATCGTGCTTGTAAAAGTCGACAAGGACCAGCAGGCACCAGACAAGAAGAGAGCCTCCGCAAAAAACAATGACGACGGAACAGTTCCCAGACATGCGACGTCCTGATGTTTCACTACGGGGTCCCTGGAAGTCCCGACCATGTCTCCAAGGCCGGTTTTCCTTCATGAATCGTTTTTCGACGGTCCCGAAACCCGGCGAAGGCCCCCCGAGGCCGAAATTTGCCAAAAGCCGCCCGTGCTGATTTGTTTCACGACGCGATGATGCCTGAGTTTGGAAGATTGGCGCATGGGGCCCTGCTGTCGGAGTTGCTTTGTGGTTGCCGCTGTGCATCTTCGGTAGGCCTCTGGAACCATGCGGGGGCCCAGGCCGCCCCCTTCTGCGAGACCGCGCGGGCCTAACAAAAAAGGACGAATTGGAGGGGGAGGGGCAGGTGGGGAGGAAGAGGAGGAAAAGGAGGAAGAGGGAGAGGAAGAGGAAAAGGAGAAAAAGGGAGAGTGATAGGAGCAGAGGGATGAAGAGGAGGAGAAGGAGGAGAAAGAGGAGGAGGAGGAGAAGAAAGTGGAGGAGAAGGAGGAAGAGGGGAAAGAGAGAGAGAGAGAAAGAGGAGGAGGAGGAGGAAGAGGAACGACAAGGAGGAGGAGGAGGAAGAGGAGGAGGCGGAGGAAGAGGATGAGGAGGAGGAGGAAGAGAGAGTGAGGAGGATGAAGAGGATGAGGAGAAGGAAGGGGAGGAGGAGGCGAAGGAGGAGGAGGATAAGGAGGAGGAGGATGAAGAGGAGGAGGACGAACACAAAAAGAGAGAGAGAGAGAGAGGAGGCGAATGAGGACAGGACAATACAGGACAGGACATCCGCATATAAGGGGGTCACCGTCAACACCTACAAAGGAGCTGCGCGAGCGACTAGCAACATCCTCTGCGATTAAATAATGTCGCGCGCCCCATACTTCCCCCGGGCCGGGCAGGGGGCATACCCCGAAGCTCGGAAGTGGCCCCGTGAGAGAACCTCGCTGATTAAGACGAGTGCCTTCCTGCGCGAGGGGAACAGGTGCTGGCCTGTTCGCGTGCCCTCTCAGGGGAACGCGCACAAGGTTCCCAAGTAGGGGGTTCCATGCCCCTTTCTATAATCAGAGCGCCAAAACGCCTGTGTTCCGATAACCCCCCCCCTCCACCGACACAGGAACTCCAGCACTCCGAAATGTATTCGTTCGTGCTCTTTGCTCTCACTCCGCTGATACGGGTGCTTCCCGCGCCAAGAGCGCTCAGGTTTCGCTGCCCGCGCCAAACGCGCTCAGAAATGCTCAACCTCTTCTTTTGTTCAGTCCTCTGCGAGGTCACACTTTAACACCAGAAAATATGGGGAACATGCGGCACATTCAGAAAATGGACCGAGGACGGGGGACATGGAGACAACGCAGGGGAGAGAGGGGGGGAGGGAATGCAGGAGGCCCCTGCACTCCAAGTGCCCGCTGATGGGCCCGAGTAACATTCGACCTACATCCTGCTGTGCCCACGCTCGGCCAGAGTCCCCCCCCTCCCCTCCCCGCCTCCTCTCGCAGCGCCGAGACAGATGCTCCTCGCGCCATGCGCGCTCAGAGATGCACAACCTCTGATCTTTGTTTCCTCTGCAAGGTCACACTTCTTTCCTCAGAAACTCTGGATATACATGCGGCACGTGCAGAGACTTTGTACAATGTCTCCGTTCAAGGTGCTTCTCTGTCTACTAACGTCTATGTGTCTCACACTTGGATAACAACTCCCAAGGATACCCACTCTGAACTGGCGTCTTCGACTATAAGAAGTGCAGTACATGCCTCGGAATCCAGTGACTGCTGGATGCCCACAGCGGAAACAAATCGGCAAAACGGCTTGTTTCACTGCTTCGCGGGCCGTATGGCGTATTGATTCAGCTTCTTCGGCTTGATCTAAAATGGCACTTTGGAGCTGGATCCTCTCCGTCGGGCTCAACATGATTTTACCTCCTCCATGTTTTGTGAAGAAATCCCATGCTTCTAACTCTGCCAACGCATCCTCTACTTCCTGCTGGGTGAGGTCAGGGGCAACTTTTGTTGAATTGCTTTCGCCCTAAGCAAGGAGCCTGCGTTGTTCAGGAGCACCTCGGCAACTTCCTACAGTGTGTTCCGATTTACCGACAGAGAGGACATGGGTTTTCGAGGTTCATCACGGGCGCAGGCCAGTGGCCTCCGAATCTCGTGGCCTTCAGTTTCCCTCTGGCTCTTGTTCCACTGACGCAGTCGACCTTTTACGTCCATGGCTAACGTTTCCCAGCAAATCGTTATCTGCTCCTCTGCCACCTCATTTGCTTCAAAGTGACACTCCAATCTTCCATCGAAATCTGGGTAGATGCGGCACATGAAAGTCTCATCACCTGAAGAGCAGGGGCCTATGGTTTTTGAAGCTCTCCATCGGTCGCAACCGATGACCTCCGCACCTCACGGCCTCCATCTTCCCTCGGACCGTTGTCTTCTATCTCCGCTCGCCGCCGAACAAATGAATTGAAGCAGGCCCTATTGGACCCCATTGGAGCAACTGGTCTTCAATCTCCTGCTGCGTGTGTTCCGAAATTTCTAATTCGCTTATGGATTTTCGATGTTCTTCATTGGCACCCTCCGGTTGCCTCCGAACCTCGGGGCCTCCATCTTCCTCCTGGCAACAGCTGTCCAGCGACGGCTCTTGGTCAACCAATCGTTAGTGAATGGCAATCCTGGCAACCTGGCATTTCTTTGGCGTGGGTACGGTGGATGCATTCTCTTCGTCTGCGGCTCGTCGTTTTTTTTTGTTGTTGCAAGGTCACGCTCCAATCCTCCATTGACGTCCGGAAAGTTGCGGCACAAAACAAAAGCCATCACCAATGTACGACCCTGTCACGCGAGAAATGTTTCAAAAGGTACGGTACTGGAATGGTTGCAGGGATTGGTTTTGTTTATTCTCCGTCGTCCCTCCTCCACCCTACTCCCTCCCCCCGTCACTGGAGAATGTATGGGGCGGAAGTCGGGTGAGAGAGTTGCAGAATCATCCTCTCTCCGTCGGGTGACTGGCGACGGAGGAGTAGGAAGAGGAGGCGGAGGATAAAGATGAGGAGGATGACGAGGAGGAGGAGGAAGAGAGAGAGAGAGAAAGGAGGAGAAGGAGGAGGAGGAGGGAGGAAGAAAGAGAAGGAAGATGGAGAGGAGGAGGAGGAGGAGAAGGAGGAAGAGGAGGACATAATCGCGGCAAGGCGAGGCAAGGCAATAGCGGCAGAGTGGGCTTGCGTCTCCCAGCAGGAGGAGAAGATGGGCTGCTCACCATCGACCGCCACATCTTAGCGTAAGGGAGAAACATTGAACAGGGACTGACCGTCCCGGCATTCCTGTAGGCCTACCACGACGTGTTCTTAGAACCCCGACAGGTTCTAATATCATAAAGCATGAGCTTAGAACATAAGGCCGATGTATTAAAACAGGGCGGACTCAGCCAGAAGTGTGCTTGCAACATCTCGTGCAAACCACAAACGGTTCTTAGAATGTTCTTGGGCCTATGGGCGAGCCAGGACGCTTCGCCACTGCTTGAAAAGGAGCCTGGAACCCGATAGACTCCGCAGGACGAGCTTTTCATCCCGAATCGTTGCTCACGGCCCCCAGGCCCGGGGAGGGCCCCAGAAACCCAGACCCGTTGCACTCTGCCCCCCTCGATCACCCGGCCCCTTAAACAGGGCCACGTCTGCAGAGGCCTCCTCCTCCTCCCTTTCGTCCTCCTCCTTCTCCTCCCCCTCCCCCTCCTCCTCCTGTTCCTGCTTTTCTGCCTCCCCCCTCCTCCTCCTCCTCCTCCTCCTCCTCCTCCTCCTCCTCCTCCTCCTCCTCCTCCTCCTCCCTCCTCCTCCTCCTCCCTCCTCCTCCTCCTCCTCCTCCTCTCCTCCTCCTCTCCTCCTCCTCCCTCTCCTCCTCCTCTCCTCCTCCCTCCTCCTCTCCTCCTCCTCCTCCTCCTCCTCCCCCCCTCCTCCTTCTCCTCTCCTCTCCTCCTCCTCCGCCTCCTCCGCCTCCTTCGCCTCCTCCGCCTCCTCTGCCTCCTCCGCCTCCTCCGCATCCGCCTCCTCCGCGTCCGCCTCCTCCGCCTCCGCCTCCGCCTCGCCTCCGCCTCCGCCTCCGCCTCTCCGCCTCCTCCCTCCCCTCCTCTCCTCTCCTCCCTCCTCCTCCCTCCTCCTCCCTCCTCCTCCTCCTCCTCCTCCTCCTCCTCCTCCTCCTCCTCCTCCCTCCTCCTCCTCCTCCCTCCTCCCTCCTCCTTCCTCCCCTCCTCCTCCTCCTCCTCCTCCTCCCTCCTCCTCCCTCCTCCTCCTCCCCTCCTCCTCCTCCTCCTCCTCCTCCTCCTCCTCCTCCTCCTCCCCCCTCCTCCTCCTCCGCCTCCTCCACCGCCTCCTCCTCCTCCTCCTCCTCCCAAATGGGGTCCGAGTGTGGATAGAGTCCGAGGATCTCGTCGCATCGCCGAAGACGATGCATCGGGGCCGTCGGCGTGGAGAAAATGAGACTCCACATCGAGCCGCATCGGCGATTTGGCGCGATCCTCGGACCTCATCTACTCGGAACCCCATGTGGGAGGCCAACTTGAAATCTAGAGGGTGGCATGGGTGCTTCCCATGCTCCCCGTATGCATCGCTGAATTCCAAGAAAAACGGGGGCATCGCCAAACGGAACTACGGGCGTTCCCAACGCACACTTTTGCAATGCTTCCGTCTCCGGCGCCCTGAGGTTTGGAGTTAGCCCTGGGGTCTGAGCTGCACGGGCCCGAAGAAAATCTGCCACTAAAGCGGGATAAGGGCGAATTCGCTCAAAATCGGTTCCTGGACCACTCCCAGGGGTCCATCTGGTGCAACTTCTCACCCCAGATCCGTTTTTACTGCCCTGGGAGACCGAAAAAGACAAGAGACCTCCTCGAACCCAAAACCTCGAACCTCGCCCCCCCTTCCTCTTCTTGCTGGCCGGAACCAATGCTGGGCCACCTCGGACCCCCAACCGGCTCCAACCTAAAGCCACCTCCTCGGTGGGGGCCGGGCTTGTGGGGATCGGGTCGACTCGGGCGGGCCTCCTGGCTGGCCTCGCGCGAGCCCGGGGACAGGGATCCGCTGGATCTTGGCCCGTCGCTGTCGTCCGAGCTCCAGTCGTCGTGCACCAGCGCCTCCTCTGCGGGGAGCCGATGGGGGAGGAAGACGAGGACCAGAGTGAACCCAAGATGTACCATCGATGCTGCACATCCTTGGGAGCCGCGCGCACACACATACACATGTACACATGCACACATACAGATCCACACATGCTCATAAGCATTAACACACGTATGTATAATTACATGTGCACGGATCCGTACACACTACTCATATACATAGACACATGTATGCATGTATACATTCACACAAACATACATACATGCATACATACATGCAGTCATACATGCACACGTACACATATACCTACAACCATACAAACATTCATACATATATACATACATACATACACACATGCATTCATCCACTCATACATACATACATGCATGCATTCATACATACGTACACACATACATACTATACCATACGCACAACCACACGTGCACGCATACATACATACACACATACAGACATGCACACACATGCAGGCATGCATGCATGTATGTACACATACATACAGACATATCCTCACACATACATATAGATCTATATATATATATACATTCATCCATGCACACAGCCACACATTCGCACAGGCACACATACATACAGTCATACATCCATGCATACATGCATGCACGCATCCGTTCATAACTTCATGCACACATACATGTATACGCATATGATCATATAATCATACACACATATACATGCACGTGCACACGTATACACACACGCATACATACACCCCTGCACACATATAACTGCATCTTTGCATGCAGCCATACATACATACATAACCTTCATACATGCATACATACATATATATATATATATATATACAACTACACACACATACATACACAGGCATACATACATGCATGTAGACGTGTACGGATGCATGCATGCATGCATGCATGCATGCATGCACACCTACCAGATACACATACACAATCATTTCTACATGCAGACATACGCAGACCCACACACACGCGTAAATATATATATATATATATATATATATATATATACATCGATTTGCCGTTGTGCCCTGAGGTGCGAATCGGAGTTTCCCCAGGTCCTTTGCCTGATCCCCTGGAGCCTCAACCCTCAATCCTGAGGATTCAAGGAGCCCAACACCCAAAATTGCCAAATCTTCCGGGGCTCGACGCGCACCTCCTGGCGCTTTGTCTTAGGTCGGGCCTGTCCCCCCAACAGGAGGATTTTGGACGAAACATGAAACATAGTCGAAGCACATTCACAAGCATTACAAGCATGATATAATACCGCCCCCGGACTATATATTTCTTTTTACTATTTTTGAATATTCCTCCTGTAGAGGGACGTGCCCGACTTAAGCTTTGTCGCGTCTTCCTGCATGCTGCGCTCGTGGCCACGCGAGTTCCAAGACGAGCCAAGAGGGTGCTCCTGGAAGTGCCCCGCGGCCCCCACGGCCCCCAGAGCACGCCTCTCGAGGCCCAGTGGGCCCCATGGGGGTCCAACGAATTTCGAGCGAGAAGCTGGGGGACACCCTGGGCCAGGGGCTGGCACCTTTAGCAACCCCCGACCTCCTCCTCCTCCTCCTCCTCCTGCTCCTCTTGCTTCTGCTCCTCCTCCTCATCTTCCTCCTCCTCCTCCTCCTCCTCCTCTTCCTCTTCCTCTTCCTCTTCCTCCTCCTCCTCCTCCTCCTCCTCCTCCTCCCGTAGCCATTTTGGCTCAAGATGGCGACCTGGGGGGCTGTCCAGCCTCCAGGCCGAAGGGAGACCTCTGGACCGAGGACAGTTCCCAGACGGGCGTCGGGCGCGCGCGCGGCACTGCTGCAGCCATGGGGAGTGGCAGCGGCGGACGCGGGGCGGGCAGCGCCTGGTCGGGGACCCCGAATCGCCAGAGAGTGCCCCCGTGGAAGAGGAGCAGCAGTGGCAGTCGCCCTCCTCGCAGCAGCTACGTGGTGTGTGACGGGTGCAGCAGATGGCGCTACTGCAAGAACATCACCAGCAGGGGCGACCTCTGCATCTGCGGCAAGAACCTCGCCTGCCTCGTCCCTGACGGGCACGTCTTCCGTGACGAGGATGGTGGGTGGGTGGCAGCACAGCCCCAAGGAGGAACCTCGCCCAGGATCAGCGGGGCAGATGGTTGGCAGCCAGGAGGTGGCGCAGGCGGGAAAGGGCAAGGAGGCCAACGCCAGCCACCACCTCACGACAAGACCGCTGATCTCAAGGCCGCAGCTGCAGCAGCATACGGCAAGCTCAGCAAGGACGACCCGCTCAAGCAGCACTACGAGGCCCTCTGGCCAGAGCTCGCCGCAGCCAAGCCACCAGCAGATCAACCAGTCGTTGGATTCAAGGCAGTAGAGGCAGCAGCTCGGCGCTTGGACAAACTCCAGAAGAAGGTACGATCGGCAGGGGAGCAAGTGGAGAGTGCCCAGCAGTACTTGGCTGAGAGTGAACGCAAGCTTCGTGAAGCTATGGAAGCATCCATTGCAGCAGAAGATGAGTTCGACAAGCTCAAGGCCACAGTCGGCAAGCAAGAGGTACCAGCCGAACCCGCAGCCGAGAAGCCAACGCTGGCAGCCCTCCTGGAGCAGTTCGAGCACGAGCCTGACGACTTCCACAAGTGGTCCGAGCCAGACAAGGAGGTCTGGCGAGCTGCAAAGGCCAAGGGTGAGCGCATGGCCCAGACGGTCAAGGAGCACGAGGAGGAGACGGCGAAGCACCTGCGACTTCTGGAGGAAGAGACGGCCAGGCACCAGGAGCAGCTGCGCCAGCTCGAGCAGGCCCGCACCAAGCGCCTGTCAAAGAGCGGAGAGCAAAACCCAGAAGCAGCAGATGCCCCACCAGGCAAGCGCGTCTGCGCTGCCAGCCCAGCCCCTCAGCGAGGAGCCACCACAGGCGCTGAGGCAGCAGGGTCAGCTGCTGCGGCTGCGCCTAACGGCGCCGCGGCAGCTGCCCAACCAGAAGCAGGTGCAGCAGAACATGACAAAGCAGAGGAACGCCGAGCTAGAGTGGAGGCCCACATCCAGGAGGCGCGAGAGAAGGTCTCGCAGGCCAGGCGCGCCGAGACAGTCGTCGACGCAGAAGGGCAAGGTGACCACTCAGCAGGGTAGCCGCCCCAAGGCGAGCACGAAGAAGGCTCGCCGCCCTCACCACATCGACTTCTTCAATGTCACGACCTGGGGCCCCCAGGCACAGGGCTACCTCGTGGAGATCAACGACACCAAGGACAGGGACATCATCGGCATCGCGGAGCACCACCTCCGCCAGCCTGCGCAGATAGGCAAGGCAAGAGCGGCGCTCAGGAGGAAAGGCATGCACAGCTACTGGACCAAGGCACGGCCAGGAGAAGGAGAAGGCACTCGTGGAGGAACGTGTGCCATAACGCGAGGATCCTTGGACGTCCAGGACAGGATCGCGGGCTTCGACGAGCACTACCTGCACGAGGACGGCAGCGACGTCACGGTGGTGATCTCCAACCTGCACAAGGTCCGCTTCGCAGTGGCCTTCGTCTACCTCGAGTGTGGGACGGGCTTCGGAGAGAGGAACGTCGACATCCTCTGCGACCTGCGGGAAACGATGGCCGTCTGGGGAGGGCCATGGGCAGCGCTTGGGGATTTCAACATGACGCCGTCGGAGCTCAACAACAGCATCTGGCCCAGGGTGCTGAATGCTCAAGTAGCAGCGGCGGAGGATGGCGCCCCCACGTGCTTCCCAGCAGGAGGCGAAGCCAGGTGCATCGATTTCGCGCTGATCTCGCAGGGCCTGGCGCCGTATTTTGACCAACTATAGCTGCTCAGGACCGTGCCGTGGAAGCCGCACATTGGCATCCGCTTGAAGCTGAGAGGGCGGCCTCTAAAGCTCAAGGGCAGGGTACTTCGCAGGCCAGCAGCCATTAAGCCACCAGTCGCAGTTGAGAGAATGCCGAAGTCCAGAGCCGCTTGCAGGCGAGCGGCGCGAGGAGGCCAGGAGGCCATGCGCCGACGTCAGCAAGCGTTGGCAGAGGCAGGATGCGACCAGGAAGGAAACGACATGGAGCCAGTGCCGCAGCTGTACTACGACAAGGAGGTCCAGCACGTCATCCCTGACGAGCTGTGGCAGGCCACCTCCGAGAGGGTCAGCTTGCGTGTCTACGACGAGTTGCCCCAGCACTTGCAGCGCACTGTCGTCGGCAAGATGATGGAGCGGGACATGCTGGATCTGGGGCAACAGTACGACCACTTCGCTAGCACACTCGAGCTCAGCCTGTGCGAGAGCATCGGCATCCCAGAGGAAGATCGAGGACGTCATCTCGGGCACAGCAGGCCCCCGAGCTACAAGAGCGCGAGCATCAAGGACACCGTCACCTCTACGCCATGGGCAGGGGTTGAAAGGAAGATCCATGCGTGGTGGGCGGAGATCTCCTCCTTGGTGCGGCAGCTCTCGCACCACGACGCCCGAGCACAGGAGGCAGCGGCAAGTCGACAGGGCAAGACCCAAGCACGTCCCGATGAGGACTCGGGAGGAGGACAGGGCCCGTCGGAGCTGGAGCTTGGCCCCGTCATTTCGGGCAGCCAGGAAGGCCACGGAGAAGGCGACCCTGCACCAGCCTCGAGCCCATCGAAGAGCTCGGGAGGAAGCTCGGTGGAACGCTCCCCCACCGAGCGGGGCAAGGGCCCCCCCGAGCTGCAGCAGCGGAGCGCAGGCAGTGGAGGCGCAGCAGGAGGCGTCCCAGACCTCCACGTGGGGCATACCCACAGCACCGCAGACAGTTGCCCAGAAGGGATGCAGAGGGGTGCCCTTCCCCCACCAGCAGGGCGCAACACCATGGACATCCAAGATCACGACCCCTTCGAGGATGAGGAGGAGTACATGGAGTAACGCCAGGAGATCGCAGACCAGGAAAACAGCGATGGGTACCACCAATACATCGAGGGGCAGCAGGCCAGCCTCGAGTCCAGCCAGACCGCTCGCCGTCGAGCAGCTGGACCTGACTCTCACCCACCAGCAGGACGCAGCACCATGGACGACCAAGACCACGACCCCTT